ACCTGGGGGCAAAATTGAAAAGACTGAGAACAGGGCCCTCTGACGTGGTTAAGAACTGGGTAACCCCACATACCAGCTCTTCAACAATCTTGCGGCAAAGCTTTGAACCGCTTTAAAGTGGGCATTCCCGCTGAACACTCCAAAGGCTGCCTCTCAGTCTCCGGTGTTCAGGTCTCATTCCAGCCCTGGCTGAGCTGTGTCAAGCAGAGTTAGCAAAGCCCCGGGGCAGTTCAGGGTTTCCAAAGTCAGCTCACACAGCAGAGGCAGAAGCCATGTTTGACTTTGCCAGTCTCGCATCTCCCCTTCCTCATCTCTCCTTAGAGGACCTCCCCTGTCCTCTCCCTTTTCTCCAGCCCCATCAACTCTTCTTCCCCAACTCCTCCTCCCCCCTCATCTCCTTCCCTTCCTACCCCTCCTCCTTTTCCCACCTCTTCCTCCGTGCAACACCCCCTTCCCCACCACCATAGCACACACGTTCATTCCCACCACCTGCTCCAAGAATGAAAGACGTGTAGATGCTGCTGGAACACCCCCAGTTTCAGATTTTGCACCTTCCAGGCGCTTGAAGTAAAACTACCATTGTCTTGTTTGTCACTCCTCATGGTATGTGTGTGTGCGCACACACACACACTCGAGTGCCTGTGTGTGTGTGTGTGTATGTGTGTTCTATTTGTAAATCCAAGATTAACGAGTTATAAGAAAGAATGGCAGTGGCCTGGCTGATGGAGGGGGGGAGGTGGGGTGCTAATGTTCTTGGGCCCAATCCATAGGAGGGCACTGGGTGGCAGCATCAGACAGAGCCTTTCAGAAGTTTGCCAGAAAACACTTTGCTAGCTTTTCTTTTTAATAATTTGTTTATCAAAGCTGTGGTTAAAGAGAAGGAAGTCACCAAGCTGTCCCAACTCTGTGACTTGGGAAAAGCTGAGGACTGGGATGAGAGGGGCTCTGGGAAGCCTGCAGACCCTTCCCTGGAAAACACTGGCAACAGGAACTGGCTGTGACTCCCTGCAAAGGGTGTGTCTACAGACAGGGCAGAGGGCAGGGATGCCCTGGTGGCTAGGCCAAAGGGAGAAGAACCAGGAGAGAAAAGCTACTGAGCCTGGAAAGGGGCAGCAGATACAAAGAATTTGCTCTAGAGGCAGCCTTGGGATGGGTAGCACCTGGAGACCTCTAGCTGAATGCTGGCTCCGGGAGGAGGAGTACTCTTCATGGGTGCAAAGGAAAACTGGGGGGGGGGGGCACCATTTGGAATTCTGTCCTAGGCAAAGTGTTGTAAGTACAGGTAGAGACAGGCAGACACGTGGATGGGGGTGAGTCTCTCACCCATTTCAAGGCAGGTACTTAAAACCCAGTGTTCCAGGTCAGCTGGTCATTCTAAAGGAGCCTTTTAATTAGAGTGGGCTTATGGCTATAACACTTTAACCAGAGTATCTGCAGGCTCTGGAAGACCTTCCACTTAGAAAGAAAGGCACCAACTTGAAGGAACCCCGGGTCAGCGAGACTGCTAATGAAGGTGACCTGTGGAAGCATAGTAGATACACTAGTGAATTATAACTCAGCACTTCCTTGCAGTCCTTAAATGCTATTAGATTATCAAGAAAGCCTGAAACTGTTCCTACACAGTCTTCACTCGGTAGCTCCAGGCAGCCCAGCAGAAGGAAAGCAGTGGCCTTGGTCACCATTTCATGCCTTGGCCCATCTTATAAAGTGCAGGGGAAGTACCACAGATCAATAGTTATTCTTGGTTAATATTGCCATAGTTTCTTTTTTTCCTTCAAAAGAAAGGAAGCCCCTCCCCCATAGATCACAGCTAATTATAGCAAAGGCATATTTTATGTGGTCTATTTATGGACATGACGTTTAGGAAGAGAACTCTTTTGCGTTTGTATACACTTCTTAGTCTAGCCAGCAGGCCGTTAGATAGCAGATAGCTGTTCTTATAAATTAATTCACTAACTAATTAATTAATTGAAATATTTAAAAAGCCTGCAGCTGTCTGCTAGCTTTTGGTTGAGAGGTGGGTCTGCTGACCTTCCATCACCTGGGCCCTGGATAGGTACAAGCGGTTGGAGACCCCACAGAGTAGTTTGCCTGCTGGGTGGGTCCGTCTGCCCACAGTGGCCCTCCTAGTTCTGTGTGCGGGGACCCAAGCACTATGGCACACAGTGCACTGTGTTTACTTGCAGTGAGTTCTAATGAGCAGAGTCCCTGAGGGGATATTAATGGGAAATGAAAAGCCAAACGAGCATTTATAGGAAAAACTGAACCATGAAAAATCACTCCTCAAAAGCACATGGCATCTATTTTTCTGTTCCTGCTTACATGATCTTAAGTTACCTTAAAGCTTTAAGTGACCCTCTTTGAAGAGCCAATAAATTACATGGAAGAATGTGTGTGTGCACTTTGTGTGTGAGAGCATTGTGTGTGTGTGTGTGTGTGTGTGTGTGTGTGTGTGTGTAGAGAGGAGATTGTTGCAAACACATTCATCATCTCTCCCCCAGCCCACCCCCCCCCAGTCAGCCCACGTACACACACTATCTCTTGGCAATTTCAGAAAGCTATGGAGGAGCCAGGACAGCTATTTCTATGTTTGCCTTGAAGATGAGAAAGGGAAGGCTCAGAAAGGTTGAGTCATTCAAAAAAAAAAAAAAAATCACACAGCCATCCAAAGCTGACTCAAAGCCCTGTACCCTGACTCTGGGCCCATGGGTTGGGGCAGCAAACTGTTGCAGTCAACAAGCCATTATCATGGAAAAACATGCAAGGGTGATTTCCCCTTGCCCCCCAGCAAGCTCTAAACACCCCCCTTTCCCATCATTGGGTGCAGTCAGTGAACCATGTAAATTCAAACTTTAGAACGGCTATGTCGCATGACTTAAAAGGTATTAAAATGCAAAACAGGGGTAAACAATATTTCTTGCCACAGGGAAGTAACTAATTTAAGTTGACAAAATAATGGGATTGGAGTAAGGTCTCCAAAGTGGCCATGGAAGGAATTCAAGAGTATTTTTAATATGGACACTATATAGTTGCTCTGCCAAGGATGACTGTAAGAGAATTATCATTTATAAAACCAAGCCATAAAGGGGGGGGGCACTTAAGAGGAGGAAAGAGATGACTGAGCAGGAGTGAGGGATAGAACACATGAATGCTTCAGGGAGATTCATGGATTCGTCACAGCCTGGGTACCACAGACAGCCAGTTGCAGTCTCAGTATGGTCCAGGTCCCCTCCATCACATCACCCCCAGGAATATGGCCTGAGAGGCTCCAGACAGCTGTCAGTCTAAAGACTTTGGGAATGGAGGTGGGGGCCACTTGTAAGCACTGATCTGCAGTAAGAGGGCTGAGGACCTTCTGCTCCTGAGAGTTCATAGTCACAAGATCACTCAAAACTGCCCGACCACAGTGATCAGAGTTACAGACTTGGTCTCCTGGAGACAGTCCCAGACTCTGCTGCAGACACAGCCCCTCCCCCGCCCCTCCATTCCCCCAATACAGTGAAGACAGGTAAGCAACTCCCTAAGGAGTCCTGAATTTCATTTTATTTTCTGACCATTTCACCTTTGAGGAGTTTAGCTGTATCCTCCCAGCATGCCCCTTACCCCATTCCCAGTCTTCCCCACAGCCTTAGGCAGTTGGCTCTTCATTAATTTCTCCATCTAGACTGTGACGTGCAGAGGTCCTTCTAGCTCTGTATCTTGGCTTAAAACATTGGCACGAAGGGATGAACACAGAGGAGACAGAACCAAGCAAGCAGGGAGGCAGCCACCGGCAACTCAGCAGCCAGCCGCCTGCAGGCTCCAGGCAGCCTCTGCAGCTCCTAGCTGGTTTCATTATTACACAATTGAAGCGAAGCCCTCCTCCCGTAGCTGTCCTCCGGGAAGGCTCACATCTAGCTGGCAGGAGGGAAAGGAGCTAAACTCCTCCCAGCAAAACACACACACACACACACACATACACACACACACACACACACACACACACACACACACACACACACTTTGCACAGTTTGAGGACAAGGACAAACTCTTACAGAAACGGCCCCTTGTCAACTCCCAGGTCCTGTCTCTAAGCTCCCCAGTTCTGTAGCTACTTCTCTACAGCAGGACAGATGGCAATTTGGATAACTTTTCAGATCTTTTCTCTTGGGCACTGGCCCACAAGTGTTTGGGAGGGAAATAAGGACGCCTCTACCGGACCCTTCCAATCACCCTCCGTTCTGCTGCCCCCACTCCCGGCTCGGAGGACAGTGTGGGGGAGACACTACATGCCTACTCCACTGTTGCTTGCCAGTCCAGGCAACACCACAGTCACTGTAAAAGCACCGCGCCACCCAGAGAGCGAGAATGAGCCGCCGCGACAAGCAAGCGGCTCCAGAGCGTTGTGATCCTAGCACCAGCAAACTGTTTGCATGAGCTCCCTGATACATGCCTCCTGAGAAAAGGCTAGAACCCCCAAGGAGATGGCTAGAAAGCGTAAGAGGAAGTGGCTCACCTTTAGGTTGTGCGTGGGGTTGACCACACAGACAAGTTGCCCAGCAGCAGAGAAAACCCGTTTAGCCTTGTAGTGCTGAAACCGGAGGTGAATGAGATCCAACACAGCCCCAAAGCACTGGGTAAAGAAAAGCATCACAACTTTTGGGGGGTTATTGGTGCACAGGAAGGCAGCGGAGGAAGCTGTAAGACCTTGGGCTCTGAATGGAGCACAGCCCGAGACACTCTGCTCCAGCCCGGCTTAGCGCGCCTTCATATTCATCATCAAAATAAGACGGTTAGAATCTTGCAGCAGCGAGGCAGCCAATCAAAAGGACAGAAATGTTATCCTTGAGGTGCAGAGACAGCCAATAACAAATACCTCCCCTACTGAAACTCCCTGATGAATTGAGCCTGGCGGAGAATGTATTATTGAACATTACCATAGATCAGCACATTGCATTTATCTTGTGATTACAGCCAACCATACATAATGCTGGGGAGATAGGCTGACAAAATTGATTGCTTAATGTGTCTCCATTTATTAATTGACTTAATTTAACATGAGAGCCTTTCTTAGTGCCCTGAATACCCCCCCCCAAAGAAAAAAACGTAAAACATTTAAACCTCCAAACAGGAGAGCATTGTGCTCCAACAGGCAGATGGGTTAGGCAGCTTGTGGCACTACTCACCAGAGCTGCCGGGAGAAAATCAAATACTACAAGACACTGATTCTAGATACGGATTTGGCAGCTGCAGAAATTTCAATCTTGGGCTCTGACTCTCTGCAATTTGGATTGTAGCCCCTTAGTAATCTAACTCCCCACTCTTTATGCAAAAAAATCTGACAAATGAATTTTAAATTGAGGAGGGAAATTCACACACACATATATATATGTATATATATATATATATCAAAATACAGTAATCACTGAACTCTCCTTTATTAAAGCATGAAGATGCACAGAGCTTGCTTCTAAAAATAATGAAATCCCTGATGCATGAACACACACACACACACACACACAACACACACAGAGAGAGAGAGAGAGAGAGAGAGAGAGAGAGAGAGAGAGAGAGGGAAGAAAGTGGCTTGTACATCAGCAGAATAATTACAGATGCAGAGAACCTGTGCTTGCCACTCATTTGCATATTGGTGGGTAGCAAATTGCTAATTAACTAGTAGATTGTTGGAGACATTAAAATAGAGATTAGGGACACACGCCACATAGCACTTACTTGTGTGAATGCCAGCAGCATATTGCTGTGCTGGAATGGCCAGAGACCAGTCCATTTCTTAGCTGCAACAGAGCACTGGTCACCCCATGCCCGAGGTGGTCTGTGGGGCCACCCATTGTTTCCTGGAGGAGAGCTCCTAGGCAGTAGTACATGGAGGGCTTTGGGCTTTCTGGGAATAAGCTCCGTGGTTTATTTAATCTCTGCCACAAAAGCCCAAGAATTGGGAGTACTGAGTTTTCGTTCTTTGGCTCTTTCTGCTCTGAGTGGTCAGACAGACTCTAGTGCTGCTGCAGCAGGACCAGCCTCCGGATGAGCTGCAGCCATTGGTTTGAGGGTGTTGCTCCTTCCTGGACCCTCACTGCACTGACCCAGAATAGCTATAAACACAGCCAACAGCATTGTAAACTTTCGTGAAACAATATGAGATTAAAAACAAAACAAAACTCTACTTACTGCACGGTTCACAGTATGAACTCTGTAGATGACATCTGTCTCTATGGCAAAGGGCTAGAAGTGCTGGGGTCATAGGACCTCGGTTGCAATAGATACAGACTCTACGACCCCAGGACAGTTGAGCTGTAGCCCAGTCAGGCACTTAAGATAAGAACAGACTAAAACACAGCAGAGTCCCAGTACATTTTAACTGGACTTTAAAACCAAATCAATATCTGAAGCAGTGATTCTCAACCTTCCTAATGATGTGATCCTTTAATACAGTTCATCATGTTGTGGTGACCCCCCAACCATAAAATTATTTTAGTTGCTACTTCATAACTGTAATTTTGCTGCTGTTATGAATTGTAATGTAAATGTCTATGTTTTCTGATGGTCTTATTCGACCCCTGTGAAGGAGTCTTTTGACCCCAAAGGGGTTGCAACCACAGGTTGAGAACCATTGATCTGAAGGAACAAGTTGAATATCAAAATTGGAGGTTAATGTTTGCAATTTGACAATGAATGTACCAGCAAAATATATGACAGTGTTTTAACTGAGTAACCCTGAGTCAATGCACTCTGAAAATGCGTTCCTAGACTCACAAACTGGGGTCTCATTTGCTTTCTGATTTGCTGTGGGGAATATGTGACCAAAGGGAACTTGAGGAGGAAAGAATTTGTTTGGTTTATACTTCCAGGTCACGCTCCATCACTGAGAGAAGGCAGGGCAGGAACTCGAGGCAGGAACCTGGAGGCAGGAACTGAAGCAGAGGCCATGAAAAACACTGCTCACCGGCTTGTTTTCTATGGCTTGCTCAGCCTGCTTTTTTCATATAACCCTTGGACAACCCGCCCAGTAGTGGCACCGCCCACAGAGGAGTTGAGCCCTCCCACACCAATCATAACCAAGAAAATGCCCCACAGGCTTCTCTACAGGCAGTCTGATAGAGGCAATCCCTCTGCAAGGTTCTGTCTCCCCAGATGACTCTAGTTTATGTCCAATTCACAAAAAACTAACCAGTATAGGTTTCTTGAAAATATGTAGTTTATAGTCTGATTTTATAAGCAAGTGTTCTTAATTTACAAAATTAAAAGCCACTTTCAAAAGTTGTATCATTTGTAATAAACTTCCAGCAATTAAACAGGATAAAATTCAATGTTTTAATTGTCTTTGAGGAGGGGCTTTTTGGTCTTGGGATTGTTTACATATATTTAGTGTGTGTACACACGTGTGTGCACATGCATACACATTCCAACACACACACACACACACACACACACACACACACACACACCTTGTCCTAGCAGGTGTCAATTCTTTACATCTAGGATGTGGGTCTCAGGGGGATTGAACTCAGGTTGTCAGGCTTGGTCACTTAGCCTCTTGCCAGCCCCACTTTTGGTGTTTTGCAGTGGGATCCCATATAGCCCAGGCTGGCCTCAAATCTTCTATGTTGCCTGAGATGACCTCCCTCTACATTGTGAGGGCTGGGGTGCTGGGAGTACAGGTGTGCACCACTGTGCCCACTCTGTTTTATTTTTTCCTTCAATAAAAATAAACATATAGGCTGGGTGATGGTGGCACACCCCCTTAATCCCAGAACTCGAGAGGTAGAGGCAGGTGGATCTCTGTAAGTTCAAGGCCAATCTGGTCTACAGAGTGAGTTCTAGGACAGCCAGGGCTGTTACACAGAGAAATGCTGTCTTGAAAACAACAACAACAAAAACAAAAAGCAAACAAAACAAAAAGTGAGCATATAATCCCTTGGAGCATGACCCCTTGAAGTATGATTTACAAGGTCTAAACTTTTACTTTTTGTTTTTTGAGACAGGTTTTCTCTGTGTAACTAACAGTTCTGGCTGTCCTGGAGCTCACTTTGTAGACCAGGCTGGCCTTGAACGCACTGAGATCCACCTCCCTCTGCCTCCCAAGTGCTGGAATTAAAGGCATATGCCACCACTGCTGGGCCCTCCTAAACTTCTACTTTTATGTTCTTGGTTAAATTGGAGCTATAAGTTCATTTATTTTTATTTTTTGTTTGTTTTGTTTTCTTGCCTTACTAGAAGTTAAGTCCAGTGACAGTGGGGATTTTTTTGCCATTACCCTTTAAAAGGTACATTTAATATAAAATGGTTGTAAGCAATATAAAGATGCCATCAAATGGTATGAAGCCTGAGTACTTTGAGACATAGAAATGAATGCTCCTTTTAATTTGAAATTTGATTTAAGACTATTTTAGAACAATTTCCGATTCACAACAAACTTGGAGGGCACAGGGAATTCCCTATGCCTGTGCCCTCACACTTGGATAACTCCCGCATCACCATCGCCCCCCACCAGAGTGTGAAAAGTGCCTTTGTAACAACTGGTAGAACCCCACTTGCACATATATATAACACGGGGTGTATAGCTGATCTTAGGATTCACAGCATGCAGAGTACATCAGGAGTCTGCACATATGTATAATGACAGATCATGGTGCTCTGAAAACCCAGTCCCCTTTGCTAATCCCCCTTCTCTTATTCCCAAACTCCTGGCACCACTGACCTTTTTACTGTCACTATTGCCTTTTCCAGAATGTTCTACCATTACATCCATAAAGGATGTAGCCTTCCCAGAATGACTTATTTCACCTAATAATGTACATTAAAATCTCTGTCTTCTCATGACTTGACAAATCATTTATTATAGTGCTGAATAATGTCCCCTTTTCTGAACATATCCAGTCTACCTGTTCACCAGCTGGAAAGCATTTTTATAGCTTTCAAGATTCCAAAAAATTATGAATTAAGATTCCATAAACATCTGCTTTAGTTACTTTTCTGTTTCTATGATAAAACACTATAGCCAAAAGTGACTCAAGGAAGAAGGCCTTTGGTATTTTTATTATCTTTTTTATTTATTTGGGTGAAAGGGGCACACACACACACACACACATGCCATAGTGTGCATGTGCAGGTCAGAGGCCAACTTATAGCAATCAGTTCTCTCCTTCACCATGTGAGTCCTGTGCTTGAACTCGAGTCAGTAGGCTTGGGAGCAAGCATCTGTACTCACTGAGCCATCTTTCCAGAACAAGGATGAAAGGTTTATTTTAGCCTCCAGTTCCAGAGGGATAGAGTCCTCATGGCAGGGAAGCATAGATAAAAAGTAGAGATCTCACAGATATTACTCCAGAGTAGAAAAGTCAGACAGAAAGGGATACATACTTCATGGCTTTTTTTTTTTCATGGCTTCTTTTATACAAACTTCAACATTATAGAGAAGAAGAACGAGTGAGATGAATAAACAGGCCAACACACTTGACTTGAAGGCTTGACATCCAGAGTGTGGTCCCTAGAACCCACGTGGTGGAAAGAGAGAATGAGTCCCTGATGTCACACCTCTGGTGTCTTACTTCCTCTAAGCAGGCATGACACCCTAAAGCTCCCAGCACTTTCCAAAGTAGTACGGCTAGCTGGGACCGAGTTGACAATGGAAGGACCTATGGGAGAAATTCCGTATTCAAGCCACAGCACCCACACTA